TTAAATGATAATAGCTCATCCCCAAACTAAACTGCCTTTGTAAAACTAATGAAAGGCCACCACGTCAGGAGGATGAGAAAGACCAGAATTCTGCTAAGATGGAGGCCAGTTAAATGATTAGCAGTCATTATTCCAGAGGTCATAAAAATCTGCAACATCCTCAATTACTCCTGTAAGTAACATCACTATTGTAGTACACAGGACCAGCCTTTTGAGATGTCTTCTCAGGCTTTTGCACTTCTGACTACCCAGTGGCCCCTCTTGGACCAGCCACTCCTCTGTGGCCCCAATCCAGAAGCAGACTCGGCACGCAAGGACCAGGACTGTTTTTCTATATCCGTGTGATTGCATCCCCAACCAATCAGTAGCACCCATTCCCTAGCCCTCTGCCTACCAAACTATCCTTGAAAAACCCTAGCCTCCAACTTTTCAAGAAGGCTGATTTGAGGAATAATAAAATTCCTGTCTTCCATTTAGTTGGCTCCATGTATATTAAATTCTTTCTCTCTTGCAATTCCCATCTTGATAAATTGGCTCTATCTGGGTAGCAGGCAAGAAGAACCTGTTGGGTGGTTCTCACCTGTAATTCTTCTTGTCCAGCAAAAACCATTTATTCTTCTTGTCCAGTTTTAGGAAAGCATGCCTGTTGAGATTGGATCACCTTCGTTCTTGGAGATGGTCAAGGCAGTGCCTATTATGTTGGCCTCCCAGGCAAGAGGGTTTGTCAACTGGGGTGATTTCCATGAGCAGAGCTTTAGAATGACTCATTCCAACCTGACTTAGAACAATCTACTTCATTTCTTCTTTTTTTAATTAATAATAGAGGCAGGGTCTTGCTATGTTGTCCAGGTTGGTCTTGAGATCCTGGGCTCAAGCAATCCTCCCACCTTGGCCTCCCAAAGTGCTAGGATTACAGGCATGAGCCACCACACCCAGTCAGAACAATTTACTTTAAAGAGCTCTTCTTCCTCTTCTACATCTTAGCCCCATTAAATGTACCTCAGTAAACCTTAACGTCAAAACTCAGGGTTATGGTTTTTACCTTTCATTTCCAGGAACTAAGATGCCATCCCTCCCATCAGAAGGAACAGAGTTAAAGAAGTACAAACCAAAAATAAAATTCTAAGGCTCCCAACCATCTGAATGGTCTTCCTCCTCAGTCAGGGCCCTTAAAATTTAACCTGAGAGACCGTTTCAGGGCATGATGGGAAGTGAGGGTCAAACATGCCTCATTCTACCTCTCTGGCATTAACATCAACACAGACTTTAAGTCTAATAAGAAACATTTTACGACCTATTCTCTCTGAAGCCTGCTAGCTAAAAGCTTCATCTGCATGATAAAACCTTGGTCGCCATAGCCTCTTAACTTAACCCAGACATTTCTTTCTGTTTGATCCCTGGTATTTAGAGAAACTCAACCAAGTGTCAACCAGCAAATGTTTGAATTTACCTGTAGCCTGGAAACCCCGCTTCAAATTGTCCCACCTTTCTGGACCAAACCAATGTATTTCTCAAATGTATTTGACTGATGTCTCATGCCTCCCTAAAACATGTGAAACCAAACTGCACCCAAACCACCTTTGGCACGTGTTCTCAGGATCTCTTGAAGGCTATGTCACAGGCTATGGTCACTCATATTTGGCTCAGAATAAATCTCTTCAAATATTTTAGAGTTTGACTCTTCATCAACAGAAGAAACATTAGGAGGTGGGGATGGGGCTGCAGTTGGGGCTGACTGAGATTGTGTTCTAGTGACTGTAAAGGTAAACTGAGGCTGGAGCCTAACCAGGAACGAAGACACAAGGCAAATGGCAGTGAGAATAGCCTTTATTAGGACTCGCGGGCGAGGTTCCTCGGTCCAAAGGTGTGGGCCGAGGAAGTTGCGCTGAGGGAGGAGGGTAGGGGCTTTTTATAGCCTGAGAGGTAGGGAAGCTGGTTGTACAAACAGGGCCTGGGGAGTCTTGAAACTACTAGGAGAGGAGTCGAGTGAGGGTCATGAGGAAGGGGTCTTTGGAAACTGTTTAACTGAAACTGCTGTTCACGAACTTGTGAAATGCAGGTGAGCTGCAGGTCATGGGGGGGTGTGGTTGCCCAACCAGAACTCTGATGCATGTAAGTCTGTGGGTGTGTACAAGGGTGAAGGGAGTCTTTAACAAAAGGCCTGCTACGCCGGGTAACACCGCCATGTTGGGTCTAACAGTGACTAGTTAACCAGCTAATCAGCCAAGGAAAGAAATGGTGACTCAAGATAATACGTGTTTTCTCTGAAGCAGTGGGGACCACGGAGAGGAAGAAGAAAGAAGGGAAAGAACTTTTTTACAAATCCATAGCTGCAGACAGGAAACCATCTAAGATCTAGAGGTGGCCCAAGAGAGAAGTGACACGAAGACAGGGAAAAAAGGAGATTCCCTCAGAAACCAGAAAAAGAAGGCGAAGGTTTGGTCCTGGAAGTACAAGAAAGTTCAGTCCTGGCCTCAGGAATGGGATCACACCATTCCTATCCAAGAGCTGTTAGGAATGACACAGAGTAGGAAAGGGGGCTTGGGTCAGCTCACTCCCACTACGGCACTTTTTCATGCATTTCCACTCATCACAAAACCCACGCCATCACCTCACTGATACCACAATGTCTGAACCATGCCTTTTACTCAAAAGAATTCCAGTAACTAGCCTTAGGAGATAACCAGAGTTGTGGAGTGGGTGTCCTATCTAGGGAAGGAACGCTGAACAACTGATTTACAGCCTTGTTGCCTCTAGCCAGACCAGGTGGCCCACTGCTCAAGATAACCATAGCAACCAGATAATGCACACCTGCATACCCTACCTGATCTGCTTTGCCCAGCCCAGCCTGCATACCCCACCCTAATATCAATCCCTGATTTAAAAAAAAAAAAAAAACCCTACCAGCTCTTTTCAGAGAGGCAGGTGCTCTCTCTCCCTTTTGCGTTGAGAACCCAAGAACTTGTGTTCGATAACAGTAAGATCTTAT